AACACTTCTACCACTGACCGTCACTAAATTCACCCTCCTACTCGGACTCGACGCTATACAAAACCTCCTACCAGTGATTCTATAACTCCCCTATCACACCAAAACCTCTACCCAGTGACCTCTACTATCACGACTCTACACAAATCATCTCTACCACTCAGCCTTGCTAGCTCTCCACTACTACTCACCCGCCTATACAAACCCTCTACGCGCGCCGAGCCTGGACTCGTCTACTACTCACCTATACACCAAACTCTACCAGCTGCAGCCTCTACTCCCTGACCCCTACACAAACTTCTACCGACTGACACTCATCATACGATACTCCACCCGCTCTCCACCCCCACTCCGCACTCTACACCCAAACCTCTACCAGCCCTACCCTCTACTCCTCCCAGCCTTTACACCAAACTTCTACCACTGACCTCTACCTACTCACCTACTAGCTACTCCACCTTACGACACACAACCTCTACTACTCCCACCCTATCACACAAACCTCCGTATCGCCGTGACCTCTATACTCACCTATACACACAACTTTCTACACTGACCTCCCCTACTACTCCCCACCCTCTCTTACCTCCACCTATACCCAACCACAAACCTCGTACCAGTCGACCTTGCTACTACTCCACTCCTAATACACCCAAACTTCTACCAGTCCGACTAATCACTTCATCTCCACCTATCCAACACCAACTTCTACCACTGACCTCTAACTACTCACTCTACTACTCACCTAGTACACAAACCCTCCAGCTCAGTGACCTCTACTCCACTCACCCCCCCTCATACCCACAAACCCTCACTACGCAGTGCACTCTACTCACTCCCCTCCTTCCCACCCCCGTCCCGCTATACACCCACCCCCCCCCCGCTCCCCCGCCGCCCACACTCTCACTACCACTGACCTCCAACTCCACCGACCCTCATCACTGACAAGCCTCTACCAGTGACCGCCATCTCACCTATCAGCCTACTACACAACTTCTACCACCTCGACCCTCTACCCCTCAAGGACTCCCCGACCAGCTAGTACACAAACCTCTACCAGTCGCTCTCTACTACTCACCCTATAACCCAAAACCTCCCCACCCAGTGACTTCTACCCTACTGCGCGCACCCCTTCACAAACTTCTACGCACTCCCTGACGCTCCATAACTACCCCTCCCCAACGCCGTATACCCACAAACTTCTACCCCACTGAACGTCCCTACTCACTCCCACCTCTACTAACACCAACCCTCTTCACCTACTGACCCTATACACAAACCTCTCACCAATGACCTCTACTACTCCACCTATACCACACACCTCTACTACTCGACCTATAACACAAACCTCCAGTGACCTCTAACCCACTGCCTCTACCTACTGGACGCTAATACACAGAACCTCTCACCACTTGAATTCTAGCTACTGACGCTAATACACAAACCTTTACCTCAAGTGACCTCCCTACAATGACGTATGTGTCAAACCCTTTACTCAGGCACGCTCTACCACCCTGACCTGTACTACTCGACCCTATACCCAGAATCTACCCACTGACCTCCACTGACGGGCTATACACAAACCTCTAGCCACTCGACCTCTACTAGCGGACGCCATACACAAAACCTCTAGCGGCAGTTGACTCTCATATGACTACCTCCACCTATCACACAAACGCTCTACTACATGACGCTATACACAAACCTTACCAGTGACCCCTACCACTTGACCTCTTACTCCTGCGACCACACACAAACCTCTACACTGACTTCTCACTACTGCGCTATACACACGAACCTTTAACCCCAGTGACCCCTCCTATCCTCAATCCCGACCCTACTGCGCGCACACGGCCACCCCGGTGCTCAATACCAGCTGACTCCCCCCTCGCTACCACTCGACCTCTAGCTACCTCGACACCTCACTAACAACACCCTCTCACCCACTGACCTCCTCTTACTACCTCGACGCGCCTACCTCCACCCCACAACCTCTACCACCTCCCGACCTCTTAACTACTGACCCTATAACACAATTTTATCAGTCGCCCATCTACAACTGATCCCTTTTCACCCCCAGTGACCTCTACACTGACCTGCTGCCCTTCCCACCTAACCTGTACCAGTCGACCTTCTACATGAGTCCTTCGCCCTCTCTTCTCTCCTCCCACACGGCCACCCACCACCCACGGCTAATAGGCAGATCCAAGTCCGTCATCGTGCGACACTCCCCCGTCTCACACCGCGCGACCTCACCCGTCACCCCGCCCCGCCCGCCCCGGTGCGTGCGCCTCCGCCCCCGACGTCCCCGATCCACCCTCCGCGCTCGCCTGGCCGCCGCGACCCATCCCCCGGCGTCAAAGTCGCCGCCGCCGGAGGGGGGCGCGTCCGCGCCCGAGCCGGCAAGTCGCGTCTCCCCCCCGCAGGGGCGCACCGGCCCCGTCCCGCGCGCCGGACGCGCGCCGTTCGGGCGCCGTGCTGCCCCCTCCGACCCTGCTGCACTCACTGGGGCGCGACACCCCCTTCGCCCTGCCTGCGCACCCTCCCGTGCTCCCCGCAGCCCCCGCCGTGGCTTTATAAGGGTAAGCTCGTGGGCCCCCGGCGCGGCGCGCCCCGAGCGTATAGGTGATGCTCGGCCCGCCGGCTACGTACTAGAGCGATTTCTAATCATGTAATAGTTGCCCCGCCACCCCTCGCCACCCACCACCTCACCTCCTCCACCAACTCCACTACCCACTCCTCATCACATCATAAGTAGCAAGTACATGAATTTTTATTTCCTGAAGATTTAATCTGTCTGTGGAGACACGTAATCACCGGCTAGTGTGGGAATCTTCTCAGGGCCGGTTTAAAGAAGCGATTGCTACATATTCCACGCGCGACTTGAGGAAGATCTGATTGCGCTGAAGCTCGGCGTGCCGGCGGGCTTCCCCCGCCTCAATCTCTCTCCTCTGTGCTCACACACGTGCGAATCTTGGCTTGGCAGAACTCGAGAACGATCGGCGTACGCTAACAGCAGCGAAAGCCGGCACAGCCTACAACTCCCGCGTCGGCGCGGCGCGGGCGGGACCTGGCGGGGCAAGCCCGACCCAGCAAGCGCCCCTACCTCACTACCACCCCCCCCCCCGCGGCCCCCCCCCCCCACCCCCCCGCCCGACACGCAGCTCTGACAGCACCCGCCCCCAGCCCCCCCGCCCCCCGCGCTCCGAAAGCGACAAACGCAAGCGCCGTCGCCCATACCGCGTCTCGGGCGCGCGAGAACCCTGATATGGACTGCAGCGTCACCGGGCGACCGCTACCCCCCGCGGAGAACGACTTCCGAGAGTGTCAGAGGTCGACTGCACCTGCACGGATCGATGCGCCAGTGTAGGTGGCGCCGCATCCGGCTCGCACAGCTGTCCCCAAAAGGTTTCTGCTTCCCGTAACATTTCCGCATACTACAACAGTATTCTAAATCCTATCTATCCTATCTATCTATCTATGCTATTAAATCTCAAGATTTCTTACAAGTATATTTTGTTATAATTAATAGTATTTACTAATGACAAGTTACCCCGACTTTACAACGGCAATAATCCCCTTAACTATTACAGTATCAGCTACTGTCTCGTTTTGCTCGTCTGCAGGTGGCAGCACAGGGGTAAAGCGGTCCGATCGGGCGTAATCGATCCGGACTGCAGCCCTGGCGCGGCGGCGGCCGTGGGCACGGGCACGTAGTAACACAACAGAAAAAAAGGCGCAGGTCCAAACACCACGACGAAGAGACACCGGCCCAATCTAGGACCGGAACACACACGCCGGCTGCCGAGGGCCGTTCCCACCCCGCAGGCACAGAAAGGTCGTCACTGGCAAACAGCCCAGTCGCCCGGCCGCCGCGACGACCGCCACGCCCAAGTACGCCGCTGGCCCCCGCACCCTGTGTGCGGTCCCCCTAATCCACACAGTTGCGACAGTTCTGTTCGTCCCCCCCCCAGTTCGAGTCGGCCACTTGATCTTTCTAAGTCATTGCTGATTCATATTCAACGATGTTGATTTAATAAATGTGTATTATATATAAAATAATATAATATAATATATATAATCATATTTTATAATTATATATATATATAATATAATTATATATAATATTTAAAATAAGTACTATATATTAATGTATATTATACATTCTAATATGTCGTATGTCAATATGTTTAAGTCGTATATGGGTTAATATTCCATGTGATACCATACTCAGGGACGTAGCTAACCCAATTTCTCCTGGGAGCAAAACCACGTGCAGTTGTGTTCTGGGAACGTAATCGTGGGCAATTCCCCATTGATCATGTTACAGTAACAGTATCTAAATTTCTCTGGCTCACCCCCCCAGCCAGCTACGGCCCTGATACTATGTCATACATTTATTATACATTGTATATCAGGGTATTAGCCCGGAATGAGTATTGTGGGAGTGCAGAAAAAATATTTCCCCCTCTAATTTTTGAAGTTTCAAAACTGACCGTGCAAATCACGGCTGCGCGGCTCGCTGGCTAATACGTTGTTGTATATTGGTTTTAATGGCGTTACTATGCCCGCTGGCTAATACGTTGTTGTATATTGGTTTTAATGGCGTTACTATGCCCGCTGACTAATCATCGTGTTTGCCTTTCTTTCCTCAGTCCCAGGAGATCACCCTAGATAAGGCACTGGTGCTGAAGAAAACAGAAGAGGCAAGGGACAAGGAGGAGCATGTGCAGAAGGAGGAGGGGGAGAAGGTCGAGCGGGAAGTGGAAGAGGAGGAGGAGGCAGAGGATGAGGAGGAGGAGGAGGAGGAGGAGGAGAAGACGCCAGAATTACGACAGGCCGTTGAGCCGAGCGGAGAAAAGGAGACTCCTGTTGCCATAGTGACGAGGAAGGAGGAGGAGGAGGAGGAGAAAGCAGGAAGAGGAGGAGGAGGGGAGTGATGGAGAGGAAGACCAGCACAACGAGCTGGAGGAAGTCTCGCAGGAGAAGCCGTCATCTCCGCTGCTCACCGAAGCGCAGCCAATCCTGCCATCTGTAGAGGAGGACCCTGTCCCTTCCCCTGCTGAAGCCCTCAAGGTCACCCCCAAGAATGAGGAGGAAGAAGAGGAAAAGGAGGAGGAAGAGGAGGAACTGCCTCCACAGCTGCAGCCTCAGCAACGTGAGGCTGAGGAGGAGGATGAGGAGGATGAAGAAGAGGAAGCTGACGAGAAAGCCAAAGAGAAGGCAAGCGAGACAAACGAACCTGCATTGCCCGTCGCTACGCAGGAGGCTGTGAGTGAGGAGAAAACGCCAGCTGCAGAGGAGGAGGAGGTGCCCACGCAGGAAGCTAAGGTGGGGGAGAAAGAAGAGGAGGGGAGCAGCAGTGAGTCGGACAGCAACGGCTCGGCATCTGAGAGCGACGAGGAGGATGAGGAGGAGGAGGCGCGGCAGAGAATCCGCCGGCCGTCCGAGGAGGAGACCAAGGCAGCGGTCAACTCGATCGCTCCGACCACCGAGTCGCTGGCCGACGACCTTGACCCTCAGCCACCTGACCTTACTGACCCTGCCCCGCCCGTGTTGGTTCCCTCTCCCGCCGCCGCCACCCCCGTCGCCGTGGAGACGGTCCCTGAGCGTGAGACGCTGGAGGAGGTAGGGGAAGATGAGGAGGAGGAAGATGAGGGAGAGGAGGAGGAGGAGGAGGAGGAGGAGGAAGATAAGACGAAGAACCAGGAGGATGCAGCGGACGAGGATGCAGCGGAGGCGGTTGCCGCGGCGACGAGCGAGGAAGCGGCCGGTGACATGGAGATCGTGCGTCTGGCACAGAAAATCCAGAAGGACAACGAGGCAGCAGCAGCGGCGGCAGCGGCGACGACGACAACAGGACAAGAGGGCGTCACCGTGGCAGGGGACTTAGAGGACGACTCCTTTCCCTCGGAGCTCGACGACGTTGATGACGTTAACGACATGAACGCGATGGACTCGATGGATTCGGACATGACCAACGTCGACGACGCGTACGATCAGAGCCAGCAGATGGCGCCGGCGGCGCCCTCGGCCGAGTCGGTGTACGTCCCGGATGCGGGGCAGCAGCAGCAGCAGCAACAGCAGCAGCAGCAGCAGCGCCACCTGGTGCAGCAGCAGCACGACGTGATGGCGATGCAGCAGCCGCAGCCGTCGCCGCTCATGATGCAGCCGTCGCCCCACAGGGTGCAGCACTCGCCGCACGTGCGCGCGTCGCCCGGCGTCGCCCACCAGCTGTCGCCTCCGCACAGCCACCACAGCCTCGACGCGATGCCGCACAGCGCGGGCCGCAGCGTCACCAGCCCCGCCGAGATGGTCCAGCAGCAGCAGCAGCAGCAGCAGAAGCACGCGCAGCAGCAGCAGCAGCCGGTGCTGCGACAGCAACAGCAGCAGCAGCAGCAGCAGGCCGGGACCCCACACGCGACGCCACCGCACGACACGCGCCACATGATGCCGCCGATGTCGCAGAACATGGAGGTGCAGTCGGCGACGGCGGGCGGCGGCCCCGCGATGATGCAGGAGTGGTCGGGCATGCAGGGCGTCGCGCCCGTCTACGGAGAGATGGCGGCGCAGGGCTACGGCACCTCGCAGCAGCTCGAAATCGACCCGTCGACCCTCGGACTCGAATCGCCGACCTCGATCAGCTCCAACGAGATGCCCGGCAGCAACTGCAGTTCGTCGCTCGAGCAGGCGCCGTCCACGCAGGGGTACGCCGACTGCGCGCAGGTTCAGACGAGCTATAGCTGCAACGGGACGCCGTCGGCGGGCATGCCGGCCGACTACATGGACGGTCACGGTCACAGCGTCGCCGTCATGCAGGGGAATGCGTCCGCGGGCTACGCCCCGCCCTCCACGACGATCAGCAACAACGCGGGAGGGGGAGGGGGCTACGCGCCGAGTCACACGCCGATCCCGGCGCTGCCTTCGCACGCGTCCGCGCCGCCGCCACCAATGTCGATCGCCTTCCAGCAGGCTACGCAACAGCAGCAGCAACAGCAGCAGCAGCAGCAGCAGCAGCAGCAGGCGACGCAGCGACTCACTCACGTATCGCAGGGCTACATCGTCTCGAAGTCGTGTGCGGTGACGTCTCAGCAGCAGCGGCAGTGGCAGCAGCAGGCGCACCAGCTCTTCCACCAGCACCAGCAGCAGCAGCAGCAGGCGGCAGCAGCAGCGGCCGTCGCGCAGCAGCAGCAGCAGCAGCATGCGGCGGCGGCGCACGCGCACCACATGCAGGGCCACCCGGCGGCGGTTTACGGCCCCGCGACCGCGGCCGCCGCCGCTCAGAACACGAGCTGCAGCATCCAGAAGCTGCAGCAGCTGACGAACGGCATCATGGACATCGTGCCGCAGGGCCCGCCGATGAACACAATGACGCCGCCTCCCAACCTGACCCCGCCGCCGACGATGACGCCGCCGCCGGGCATGCAGCGCAACCTCACGCCACCCATCTCCAACCTCCCGTCGCAGGTTTCCATGACGATGAACCAGGCGCAGTACTACAAGTACCAGCGGCGGCAGGCGCAGATCCAGCGGAGCCCCAACGTCACGATCGGTCCCAACCTGATGTCCGGCTACAACACGTACAGCTACCGGCTGCAGCAGCAGGCGGCCGCCGCCGCCGCGCCCTCCGCCGCCGCCGCCGCCGCTGTCATCAACCACGGCACGACGTACATCGCCGCGAACCCGGGATTCATCAACCAGTCGCAGGTGCCGTTCCAGATGGTCAACATGAACATGAACGTGAACCTTCCCGGACAGCTGGCGGCGTCGCAGATGCAGGGGGCGCCGCCGCAGATGAACTACCAGGTGCAGGACGTCGCCGCGGGGCAGATGCAGCCGCCGCACACGCAGCCGTCGATGAACACGGCGGCCATGTACACGTACGGCTACATCCCGACCAATTACATGCGCCGGTGATTGTTTCCTGAGG